GAGATTGCCAACAATATGTTCGAATTCTTGAATAAAATAGCTTTTTTTTATATATATATGTTAGCACATTGTACTAAAAATGTCAGACACTTTGCATATTTCTAAGTTTTGCCTCCAGACTATAATGACCAAAGTAACGTCATTACTTTTTTCTATTAACGTGCTCAACATTGAATTTAATGGGCAAAAATTTTAACCTGCCAACATTACATTGCACCCGTTTCCTATTTTAGCTATTATATTTGTGTGTTTTGAATTTCGCGGAAAGCTACACTTGAGTTATCTGTGCTAACCGTCCCTAATTTAGCAGTGAAAGACTAAAAAGTTCAATATTCGAGTGGGGCATGCATTATTGAAATGGTTGATGAATTTCGAAAATACCAAAAGCTTGATAGTACACTGGATAATGCCATTGCAGGAGTATGATTAATCATACATTATCTTGCTAATATTGAAACCCTGTCTGTTTATTGAATGTCTGGATTCTAGACACTGTGATGGAGTTAAGGCCATTTTTATTATAATATTGGATCATACATTATGGGATTCCACTAGAGGATGGATGCCACAATTAACACTCTGGGAGCATTGAAATAAGCATTTGAAGTACACAGATCTAGCATAGGTAAATAGCAAGGTAAGCCATATTCAACTCAAATTCAGGAGTGTGGCGTAGACGTGCATAATTTATGGCACTTGTATGATAAATTAAAAGTACAGGAAGGTGTGCTGTTATGTTGTTATCAACTTCCTAGGAGTGGTTCTCAGTATGTATTACATATAGTGGTCCGTCAGAGCTCTGAGGCATGAGATTTTCTAGACTTTTATATAACACAGACTGGAAGGCACCATGGTGTTACATGTACTCATGTTAACATTCAAGATTGGTTCTTCTGGCTGCATTCAAGTTCAGACATCAAATTCTGGTGTGAATAATGTATGGTGTGTAACACTCAGAGTAAACATAAAGCCTTAACAGGGTAAATTCCAGCAAATAACTGTTGATTCTCCTCTCCAGATAATACCCCTGAATATTGCTGGTCTACTCCCATAGACAGAAAAAGGTCACCTATACATACTCGTGATCATCGACGATTTCACAGAGTGAGCCAAGGTTTATTCGCTAGTCGATACATATATATGCCAAATCTGTTGTAGTTATACTGGCAGAGTACTGGATAGTCTTTCTTAGAAACACCTGAAGAGATATATTTGGAGAGGGAACAAACTTCAACAGCCAACTGTTCTCATGGTTGTGTAGTATTGAGTGTGGCGAACTTCTCCTTATTCTCCCCCTAATGGGTTAGTGGAAAGAATAATAGAGACTGAGCACACGTTTGCCAAGTTTGTTAGCCTATATCAATCTGACTGAGATGAGCACATTCTCCATCATGATGGTGTATCATGCAACTCAACAAAGATCGACAGGCTGCTCGACAACAAATGTATTAATGTTTGATTGAAAAGTTTTGCTTCTTGTAGATGAGGTATATGACTCTCCACCTGAAGCAAACATCCCACAGTGTTTACATGAATATGGGGAGTGATTAAGGTTTGTGTTAGTTGATTCACGTGGGTTTGTACGTCAACAATTAGGAAAGACCGTCATACGTACGAAAAAAATGGTGAAGAAATGGATTTACCAAAGTGGAGATTGGGAGTGACTTTGGTATGTGCCAGAAACACAAAAGCCCCTTGACTCTGGCTGGACTGGGTCTCATCTTGTGTTCTGATAAGTTTGTCCTTTGACATAAGAGATACGATAATCAAATGGTCATACATGTCGATCAGTTGAGTCTATGCATGACTAATGAGCCCCTGATAAACTGATTTGACCAAACTTCAGAAGAAAGATAGTCAAGTTGGACGATGATGAAAGTACCCTGAGGATGAGGATGGAGTAATTGAGAGTACATATCTGGCTGTTCAGGATGAGTCAGGTTAGGCAATGCTCAATTTGGAGGTATTATTCAACTCCAACATTCCACAGAACCACTAACACTGACCTCCCAACCAATATGGCTAGGATTGAATTCGGAACGAGAGCTAGGACGATCATTTAGTTGAGCATCTGACGACTGAAAGGAAGTGGTGATCCTTGCTTTAATAACTATCAAATAATATTCACCATACAGTGTATGATTTCCACTTCATTACCACAAAGCTATGACGTCTGATGCTAGTATATATGATACCTAGTGCATCACCAGTTTGTACAGCTGAATGTGAAAGCTAAGGGTTTGAAAACACAGCCAAGGTAATGTAGCACACAATTTTAACTATCGCATGAAATTGTGGCTACATAACTTTCATGACTGAATCCTATAAGAAAAAGCAACATCTGGGATTGAATAAGCATCTGATCTTAGCTGGTTTTAGCATATTATCAATTAGAACTTCAGAAAAAATTTATTTACAGAAATGTATCATGGTTAATATATTAATTCTTTCTATATATTTCGCTCTGTTCTGTCTGGTTTTCTTTCTCTGGTGCACAGAAAATTCCCATTCACTAATTCGTAAGGAGCTGTGCTTTCTTACAGAAAAATAGCTTGTAATCATTCAGTTACTCAGTTTACATATATATATAAACCTTTTTAATGTATCTTACTTTGTTTTTATAAATTTGTCACCATGAATTAGATCTTTTGTAACGTTTTTATCTCCTTTATTTTAATATCACTATAGCAGAATTGCAAATTGTAAATTCTCAAACGAGATGCGTTATCTGCTATGTACCGTGCATACTAAGTCACTCGTCAACAAGTTTTAGAAACCATGGCAACGACAGTTTCGTGTTCGGCGTTTAGCATACTGTAAGTTGTGTGAAATAGAAGCTCGTATTTGGTCGCGATACTTAGGCATGATATTTATGTCATGGACATAAGTTATAGAACAGGGTAAAATCTGACACATCGTGTGCATTTTTTACAATGTCACAAACATGGTTAAGAATTTAACCTTTTAGTTGATAGTGATATGACACGTGATGATAATTGTACTTGTTAGTTGTAATTTGGCTTAATTTTACTGCCCATAGACGTTATGATTTTGCTTACAGACCTTGCCATGATTATTAATTAGAGGTCTCAAACAAGAGTCGAAACGGTGTTCTGTGTGAACAACTAGGTTTAACCAAACTTTTAGGCCCGACGTTAATTATAGCGTAAAATTGGTTTTAAACTATAGATGATCTTTTTTCCTCCTAAATTTAATGGCTTTAAGGGAACTTTTTTTTTCATTTTATGACTTTAACTATTTATATGATTTTTGTATCAAATTTTATATTTAATTTTAAAATTAAAGAAGGTTAAAAAAGTTATTTTTTGGTAGAATTTGACCACTAATGAGAAAATTCAAGCTAAATGCAAAGAGAAAATATTAGTGAGGCAATGCCACTAAGATAATCTGCCCCAAACATGTTTTTTTCTCTGTTTGGGCGTTTTTTCAAAGGTGCTACAATACTAAGTGGAGCATATGTATTAGGAATGTTTGGTTTTAGTCCATCGTGGATTTTAGTAATTGTTTTTCTATGGCTAGTTCATAAAAAAAAATTGCGTGATAAAGATATTCGTGTGTCCTTCAATCAAGATGCAGTAACTGATGAAAAAGGAGCAATTTTAGCAAGACTAGAAGATTTACCACCTTGGGTGAGACTTGCTGTAGAATAATATTAGCATTTTAAATTGTCAATACAAGAATTTCACTGAAGAAATACTTACAACGATTATAACTTATTTTGTGCATTAGGCTTTAAAGATGACTTTATGCTAAAAAAAATTACCTGTGATTGATATTTCAAACATAACCCTAAAATTAGAGTTAATCTATTTCATTTCCAAGAATTAACAAGAGGTCATTTAGTCTGTCTAGAATATTCCATTTTTTTCTGTCACTAGATCCAGATCAAACCGCATATAGAAACTCTTTTCCTTGTATCCAGGCCTAATCTCTAGAAATATATACTCGCACATTTAGTCTTTTATTAAACTTCTTCGGTATTGCAACTTCTACCACATCAGAAGGAGAACCGTTACATGGATTGACCATTATATTAGAAAATTAACTCTGTCTTAATTGGAGTTCTGTTTGAATTTTTCACATCTCAAACTTCTTTCTGTCCTCTGATCTTCCTGTTTGCAGAGTTTTTTTTTTTTTTACGAACATGTCATATACATTTATAAAATCCAAACCTTTAACAATCTTATTGTTGTAAATTAGATTTTTAATGTTTTAAACTAGGTGTTAGTTAGTGGGTGCATGATGTTAAGATTAAGTGAGTTCATAAAAGTAGTCCTATAATATCTAGAACGTTCAGGGTGAGAATATTTGTTTGTTTTTTAACTTCATGCTAAGCTACTGGAGAGCTATCTGTATTAGCCATTCCTAATTTTGAAGTGATTGACTATAGGGAAAGCAGCTAGTCAACACCACCCACTGCAAACACTTGGACTACTATTTTTTACCAGAACAGTTGAATTGACTATCATATTATGATGCCCCCAAGGCTGAAAGGGCGAGCGTGATCGAGGACGAGATTTGAACTCTTAACCCTCAGATTGCGAGTCAAGTGCCCTAACCACCACACCATACCAGGTCTTTGAATGATGATGTCAAGATTCTAGTATTAGTAACTTTGACTAATATCAAATGAGGGTGCATTGTTTATAATTACGAGTTAGTATTTATTGAGAAGTTGTTGAATGGTGATATAGATTAATTTGTTACTGTTACATGGACTGGATTTCATATTATTTTCACCAAATAATTCAAAATAACCTTAGCGATCGAACAGTGGTATAACATTATAGACCCCAATCCATGTTGCCTTATGCCCTTCTACTCTTCATAAAAAAATATGTCAAAATTTTCAACCTTTTCCTTTACAAAAACTATAAATGTGGGGTTATTTATGTGAGATTTTCTTTGAATTCTTTCTTAACAGCTCAACATTAAGGGTGGGGTTTACCTTTGGAGGACTGTGCAAATGCTCAGTTTGGGGCCCTACACTTAACTAAACAACCTTACTAAATATAACCTAATTAATCTGGTGTCAGATCTGTTTCTGTACAATGTGAAAAGGTAAGTTCATAATAGATAATATAAAACTAGTTGACAAAATAACTAGTTATAGATAATACAATAGTAAGTAACACCAAATAATTATAATGACACTTAAACACCACTGGACCCACTCAGGGCCCCATGCAATTGCACAGTTTTACTACCCTAGACTTGCCTCTGCACTTCATCCTTTCTAAAATAATCAAAAACTGAATACAATAATCCAAGTAAGGTCTAACTAAACTGTATGATATTCAGGCATATTATATGTTTTCTACCTGTTTTTATTAATATGGAAATCATCTAGTCTGTTTGTGCATTTTTGGCATAAACCCATGATCCAGAAAACCATTGAAATTGTTTCATTCTAGTTGTCTTTGGTTTTTTTCCTGTTCTCTAGCAGATAATACAAACTTTGCTCATGAGGATATTTCTGCAACTCTGTACATTGTGTAGAAACAATTAAGTGACAGCAATTACCTTTGCTGGCCAAGTAGATGATATGTACCCATGAGCCAGATGCCACAGGCAGTACTGATGATGCCACCATCTAGATATCACCTATGATCAGAGGAACAAAGCATCCACTTTGTGGACTGGTGGATGAATTGCCTGTACCTTGCCAAGTAACAAAGGTGGCAGGCTATCAGTACCAGCTGAAGGATTAGCAGATATCCAACCAACCAACAGTTTCATGTCTATAATTTGTCAAGCTGAAAAGTAGGGAGGGTTATTGGTACTTTCCAACAGTTTGGCAGGGCCAAGACAACCAGGAGCAAGCAGTGGGTGCTGTAACAAATACTTCAGAAAACTGTCAGAGCCTTAGTTGGGTTTGAATACTGGCTTGAAGGATTGCTGTGTACTGTGGCACCAAAGATTTTAGTGGTCAGCCTATCTCTCTCAGGGCAGGGTGGAATTTGGTATATAGCTGTGAGAGGAGTACAAGGACAAGAGATAAGTTCCTGGTTGATACAGGAGCAGCTAGAACACTGGTAAATTTCATAATTATCAAGCTCTCTAACTTGTGGATACTGACTTGATGTTCTGCTAAATAGCTATAGTAAAAATTAGAGGAGAGGTAGATCTCCAGGTCACTCAAAGAAATGTCACTCATAGAATGATAGTAGTTGTATCTAGCCTCAGATTTGGTCTTGACATCCTTATGATGGATGTACTGCAGAAATTATCTGTCAGTTTTCCTTGTACAACAGGTGAGTTGATGTTGCACTGGAAACTTATCTGATTTCAGCCTCATCAAGTCCAGGAACAATAGACTGTAAGAGTGTATGTAGTGAAGGGAATAACAATAACTCCATATATGCAAATGCTGTTCCATGGTTTGCTATGGGTGGATTCTAGTGTATCAGTACCACATAATGTGACTATATAAGCTATGCATGGAATGAACTGTTTACTGTTCAAAAAGCAGGCATCATTAGCTTGGACAGTCATTTGTCAGATAAGGAATGAAGTCCTTGAGTTGTTTTATAATCAGTGGCTGCCAGTTATCCAGCTCTAAGCCTGAATGGTTATAGGTATGGTAAGTGAAGTGGAGGTAACTGATGTTAGCAGTAATGTTAGGGTTGTTTCTGTTATGTATAAAGCAGATGCATAGAACTTATCTGAGCTAAAACAACTTATTGATTTTCAGGTTGAATGTGGCAATGTATTTATGAGACCAAGTGGTTTATTGAGTGAAACAATGGTGATTTATCATGACATAGATAAGAAAAACTATGTGCCAGCATCTTTGGAGCACAAGGGACGTTTTTAGCACTGAACTCTAGCAGATGTTTAAGATTAGAGTCATACAACCTTCAGAGAATGCTTTGATGTTTCCAGTAGTGATTGTCAGGAAAAGGAAAAATATGCTAAGGTTCTGTGTTAATTTTGGAGAGTTGAACATGATAACTTGCATTGAAGCCTTTTCTTTACCATGAACAAATGAGTATTAAAAGGTTCCTATTGGTTCAACACTTTAGATCTGACATCCAGATTCTGTCAAGTCAAGCAGTGAGAGCAGACCTATGACTGCTTTTAGCATGAGTGATGGTTTTTACACAATTTACAACATGCCATTCAACCTGTGTAAGGTGCCCACCATTTGAGAGGCTAAGGAAGCTTACACTGAAGGGGCTGCAATGGGAGAGATACCTGGTCTTTTTTTTTATGATGTATTGGTGTTTGTGGCTGAGAACCTGAAAACTTTATTCCAATAGATAAATAAAGCAGGCTTGAAACCTGAAACCAAGAAAGCATTTCCTTCTCTATTAATTTCAGTATGACTGAACTACTTTGTTAAAGGGAAAATATGAATACTGTGATATGAGAGAGATGTTAAATGAATCATACATGTGTTACACAAATTGTACATATGGTATATGGATCTACAGGTCTACAGATTGTGAATCAATAAACAAGGATGCCCCTTAAAATAAGGAACCTGTAGGTGGAGAATTGGTGAAAAAAAAAGGTACTCTGATCAAATAAAGCAGAATTCTTATTTAAAAACAAGTTACTGAAGTAACAAACCCCCTTTTTTAAATCATGTTTATATTTAATTGTGAATTGCCTTGTTTTGAGGAATTTCTGTAAATCTCTCTTGGTAGGCTTGTAGTTTTCTGAATATTTACTTAACTGCTAACTAACAATCTTTTGGATACTAAAGAATTTTTTTTCATCAGTGGTTTTCAAGATATATTCATTAAAGCTCCATCAACTCCCTACTGGGATAACTCTCATCAGGATCAGAAGCTTTGTTTGTTTTTAAAGATTCTCATTGAAAAAAAAAATCAACAAAAGTAGGATATATTTTCCTACTTGTAAACAAATTGGACAAGTTAGGAATCTCATGTTCACTTTTAACTGTAAAACTACTACAATAAAATTGAGGCAAATAATTTTCATCCACAATAAGACTCATCTAGGAATCTTTTAAAAGCTATATATTGAAATTAAATCTCATTTTACACTTCACAGAAGCATAAGGCTTCCTTCTGTTTAGTGGTATGCAGGCATATTATGTGTTTCCTACTACCTTATTTAATATAAAGTATTTGAAAATTTCCAGAAACACATTGTATTTAGTTTTAATATAAAATTTCAGTCACGATAGCCACTAAGTTCCTCTTGCTCTAGTTACCTACTGAATTTGGTTATTCAAATAGAGTGTCACATAACTTTCTTCTGGGAAAGATTCCTGTAAAGTGCAGCATTATTTGTAGAAATAGACAGTAATATTTTCACTGATAGGGCAGGTGAAGCCTTGAGGATACAAACTCCCTTAATTTGTAGTGAGAGTGACCATCAATCACAAGGGTAACACTTACATCCTGAAATGAGTGACATTATTGTTTTATATATATTTAATGCTATATTTTCTCAGTCTGGAATAGAAATGGGCTTGTATTGAAAGGTTTAGTGGAAATGAAGATACAGGAGTGAGAGAGATAGTTCTGGTTTATCTCACCATATATGAGGCACTCTGAGTAAAGCCCCAATATGGCCAGTTAACAGTGACATTTTTTTAGGGAATGGTGATAGATTAGATATGACTGGAGGCATATTTCTGGCTACATCTAGGTAATGTCAACCACAGAAAAATGGTTGCTATCTCTGATCTTGGTTCTGGTATTGATATTCTTATGGTGGGTATTCTGCTTAAAATTATCAATCAGTTTTGCCTGTGCAACAAGTAACTGTGTTTCCATAGGAAAGTAATTTAATGCTGACCATAACAAGTCCAAAAACAGTGGACTGCATGAGTGCATGCTGCAGAAGGAGTCCCAGTACCTCCATGTACACAAGTGGTTTTCTATGGTTCACTATGGATGAGGTCTAGTAGATTGGCACCATGTAACATGGTGATAGAGCCAATTCTTGACAAACACAGTTTTCTGTCCTAAAAGCAGGAAGCATTAGTCAGATGGCCAATTGGGCTGAATAAAAGTAAGTTGCCATCACACAGATACAGGGAACACACATACAATTAAACAGTTGTTTTGCAGGTTTTCATGGAGCAGTAGGAATGTAGACAGCATTGAAATATAGTGGATATTAAAGGTCATAATCATACAGCCTCTAGAGAATATGTGATTGTCTCCAGTAATGATTTTCAGGAGTATTGCTAGGTTTTGTGTGGACATATGATGAGTGAATTCAGTAACTTGTGTTGACATACTTTTTAACTGCAGTAGCCAAATGGATGTCTAGATGCATTGAAAAGTGCTTCATGGTTCAACACTTTAGACTTGGCATCCATATACTGGCAAGTCAAACTGGAGGATGAAAGCAGATCCAAAACTGCTTTCAGCACTAGAGATGGTTTATGTAAGCTTCACATTTTACTGTTCATCCTGTCTAATGCAACCATCACATTAGAGCTAATGGAGCTTAACAATGTCTTGGTATTTGCTGCATCTGTTACTGAGAATCTTTGCATGGTACTTCAGTAGATAAGAAAGGCAGGCTTGAAACTGAAACCAAAGAAGTATGTGACCATGTGCACACTGGTGGAATTTCTCTGTCATATTTTTGTGTAAAGATGGAGTTTACAATTTCCTTGGTTTTATGTTGTATTACCAACATTTTATGGCTAACTTCTCCAACATTCCCACACTGTTATGTTCTGTCACTAAAGCTAATACAAATTTTAGATGGACCAAGGAGTATGAGCAAGCATTCCCATCCCTTTAGCATGCTTTAGTTTATTCACTTGCAGTGTTAGCATATCCATGACAGGATTGTAAGTCCTTGTTAAATACTGAAGCTAATGATAGTGGAATCGGGGCAGTGTTATCACAGTTGCAGGATGGAGTTTAACATGTTATAGCATATGCTTTTGGCTCCTGAACACAGATACTGCATGAAGAATATAGAACTGCTCACAGATATAGTCTTCAACAAACACTACTGACAATACCTCTTTGGTAGAAAGTTCACCCATTTGGTTGGTCTGGTGAAATAGCTTATGAACTTTAAAAATTCAGAAATGGTGATAACACGTTTGATTCCAACATCCAAAGAGTATTACTTTGTTATACGACATTGTCGGGGCTCACAACATGGAAATGACAACAGATTGTCTCACTGTATGCTAAGGTCCTGTTCATTCACTGAATCTCCTAAGCAGCATCACCATAGTAATGGCAATCCAAGCAGTAGTGGTTAGATAACACATGTAAGACTTCAGGAACTCCAGAAAGAAAACCTGAAGGACTCAGAACTAGCATAGGTGTTCTTTGCCATGTCTCAAGGTTAAGTGCAGTTCAAATGTTGCAGGTCATTGGCATACACAGCTAAGCTTTTATGGGCATCTTGTTTACAAATCTTAAATTTGGCCCTGTAAATGGTTTATTGCTGTACTGGATTGAAGTGGCAGTGCAACTTTGCTAGAAGGGTTTGCTAACTGCAGAGGTAATCAGGTTCTAGGTATCCTATGGCTTCCATTACTACAGTATTCAAGCTAAACATAAAATGCTACATCATTTAGTTCTGGATTCAAGAATTCCCAGTTTCAACTTACAAAACTGTTTAAGGAGATGTACTTTTTAGCTGAACCTCTAAAAGACAGAAACCGTATTTGTTTTTCCTATCTAACATTTTGAATAAATATTGGGATGATATAAGAGGCTAAAAAAGAACAGTTGCAGATATTACTATTCAAAATATTGCAAACTGTAAAATTTTTTTTTAATCTCCAAACTTACAAAACTGAGTATCATGGGATCAACCAATTTATGGAGTATATACATGAAAGTTTGTATTTTGTTGTCTGTTGCCAAACTTTGTTATTGAAGATTACCAAACCTGCAATCTGGAATGTGAAATGAAGTAAATTTGGAATAAACAACATGGTCAGTTAAAACAGCATAATATTAAAGTAGTACTTGAGAGAGTAACTACTGATGTCTCTGGTTCACTAACAAACTGACTTAAGTGATAGAAATAAAACATCATTGTAGTAATTGGCTATATAATTAAGTGATCAAAGGTGTATTGTGTATCAAAAATAAGAAGTTGAAACACTGACACAGAAATTGCTCAGTGAATTTTTCTCAAGACATGAAGAGCCCATAAATCTTTCTTTTGGTCAAAAGAGAAGCTTTAAGTCACTCTTGTTTGTTGTATAAATTAATAGAAATAAAATACAGACAATAGTATTTCATTCTTCTTCAGATGGAATAATAAAATGATGTAGCAACACAGTGTTAGACCAGTTAACCAGTTGTGCAATTAAGAGACTGGAGATCAAGGTTTATCATTTCTACAGACTTCATGTATAAACTATAAACTTATTAGCTATAAAATTGAAACCAATGAACTTATTTGTTGCACTGTTTTTTACATTTTTATTTGTTAGAAAACTGAAATTACAGTTCAAATCTCCTCTGTTATCATTATGAAGAGAATTTTGTGGTAAACAAACCTATAATGAATACATTATTATTTCAAAAAGGCTACTGATACCACCCAAAGTATATTTACAAAAAACTAAAATTAATCTGTCTCAAGTGAGTAGATAGTATACTGTCTTTGGTTAAGATCAACAATATGTTGTACAGTATCACAAAGAGTAGAATGCTATTTCAGAAGTTATTTATTAATACTCACTGTGGAGATACCATGGTGAAAAAACATTATTAGTCATTTTGCACAGTTTAAAATGACCAGATAAATATCATAACATTCTGCAAATGAAAAAAACAATTAATTCCTAGTTTGACCCTTAATATTGAGCTAATTACAGATCCTCAGAAGCTTCAGCATGGGTGAAAACATTAACCAAACTTGAGCAAAAATAATATTGTGGAAACAGTTAAGAATAATTTGTGAATCAAAGAAAGACAAAGTTGTGTAACAGCTTTGGACTGTTTCATACAGTTTTATTTGGTACAAACCATTAGGTTGATCCAGGATTTTTAATAAATATTCTCAAGTTGAATAATAAACTATTGTGATCAAAAACCTTTCTTGATAAATGTATTAGTTTCATATTCAGCCAGAGGTCATAATAGAGAGTATAATTTATAAAGATTGTTTAATACTGAAGAAGAGTTCCCCGAGATTATGTCATTTCATTACTTATTGTTCAGATTCTGATAGTGAGATAATCAAGAAAAGCATAGTTTGGTATGTTTACGTCATTAGATTAGATCTGTATTAGTGTAGAAATGTTAATGTTTCATATTTTTTACATGTAAGAAAAATTTTAATTTAGCAAATTGTTGTGTAGAATTCAGAAACAGAATATTGACATTTTTTATTTTTCAACAAATTATTAAGTTGGTAAGTCATGTGATTTAAAATCACACTAAAAGTTTCATAAATGTAAAAAAGAAAGTTTTTGGTAAAGGAAGTAGTAAGGGTTGAAACACCATATAAGCATGCATAAATTTAACTTGTATTAAAACATACCACTTTTAATTTGAAAGACTAAAGCTAGTTATATGTATGTATAAACATTTTATCAGTTTTTCATTAAAGTTAGCTTTGTTGGCAGCACTTAGCTATATCAAATGGTGTTTTGAAGATCAGTTAAATAGGGAAGTTGAAAGTAAATAGATAGCTATTTTTAAAACCTTTGTTGACCTAACAAAAATAAAACAACTTTTTGCACAATGAAAACACCTTTCTTTACATACAAAATATATGGAGATAAAAAAATTAAAAACAAAAACACCAACAACAAAAACTGCAATTTATGTTAGATTAACAATAAAAGTATTTATTTTTCATGATAATTTGTACACAAGTTGGACACTACATGTTTTTGTTTTGTATAATCTAACTTATTGAATTAATAATTGTCAATAATAATAAAAAACTGTATGGCTAAACAACAATATTTTACATTAATGTTTAGTTTTCTTTCACAGGTTTTCTTTCCAGACATGGAGCAAGTGGAATGGTTAAATACAGTAAGTAAAAGTTAAGCCATTATTGATTTGTTATAATGTTGTTATACAAAAATTTATAAGTGTATAAAATCTCAAAGCCAATAATGAATTTATAAAACACAAAAATTTTTTTTTGAATTGTGGCTCTGTGTTAATTAGAATAGAATTTATGTCATTTTTAATTGTTGGGTGAATTCTATTTTAGTCCTAGTAAAAAAAATATAGTTAAATCTGTGACCAGTGGAACTTTAAAAGCACATAACATGGCACACAGTTTTCCTTATATCTTCATAATTTATTTGATTGTTTTCCGTTAAACAAACTGCAAATTTAACCTTGAAAGACCAGTTTTCATAATATGTTATTAATTAATCGTTTTAAATTTTAAGAATTTCAGACATATAGTGGTCACCATGCTGAAATGGCAATAGATACATAATTGCATGCAGCTTATTACAGCAACCTTGTAGGCATTTGAAGCTTGGCATTGTGATTAGATTTGGATAAAATTACAACCTATAATTTTGTACACTAATATAACACTATCTTATCAGTATTTGAAAATGAACAAAAATATATTTGGGTGAACAACTCATAAACTCAAATTGGTCATGCCTGTTTTTCTGTACTTATGGGTCTGCCATGTTCTCCTCATTAACATTAACTAGCAAAAGAGTGAATAATATGCAGAGCCAACTCAAGGACTATATACATGAATGTTCACAATATGTTGACAGATACCAATTACATGTCCGTACTGGATAGTTTTACCCCAATAAGGCTTACCTTCTATTTTAACAATTGTTGTCTCAATGATATTTTTGAATGAAAAACAGAAAATGATTATAATGTTATTACTCTACTGTGAAATGTATAATAAGTTATTTCATTTTGATATTATGTACTTTTGCTTCCATTTTGTCTAACTCTGTGAGCAACTGAACAGAAAAGAACAAAATGAAATCATCTTGGGAAATTGTCTTAAAAAAATTGTTTTACTGAAGTAATTTTTAAATCTTCTCAAAGACCATTGCATAATTTGTTTTTTATTCTTGAACTAATTTATTTTCCATGTGTTTGAGTCATGTGAGTTACAGTGCATACCAGGCCACATTATTTTCATTCAGGAAAAACAGTTTGAGTCAGTAAATAAGTCACTTTTTATTTTTACTTTTATGGTAATGTTCAGGCAGTTTAATTTAGTCAGAATCAATATGTTTTAATCTATCATAAAATTTCAAACATATATTTTTTACAAATAGAAAAAGTATCATTCCAGCTTCTGCTGAAGTACACAAAGGATACCACGTTTTCCACTTACCATTATTCATTATTGTAAGTAGAAGCTAATGCATGTAGTATATCAGGCTTTAAAGTAACACTCAGTAATTGGATACATGTCAATCAAAATTTCAGAGCTCAGATAAATTTTAGCATTTAGATTTTTGATCAGTACTCTATTATATACAAATATTAGTCTACAACTTGTTGATGAACCAATTGAAAATAACTGGATAACTAGATGTGATTTGTTCCTAATGTTGAAAAAAGTGTCACATTTAAATATAAATTATAAAATGTATCATCAAGCAATAGCACACAGCAAGTAAAATGAAAAACTCTTAACTCAATAATAAGTTTAGAATTTCTCATTTTACTTGCTGTGTGCTATTGCTTGATGTTATATGTCATAAATTGTATTTAAAAGTGACACTTTGTTCAACATTCAGAACAAGTTGCATCTTGTGTTGGAACAAATTCCTTTGTACCTTATATAAAAAGTAATGCTGAGACTGCTGTAACGACAACATACATGTACTCAATGTGCTATATACTGATAACTTTTGCTGGGTCATGCTATACAATCATAATTAGTGATGTTGACATAAATGTTGATGTTTGAATTACTGAGAAATAGGCAAATGGGAGGATTTGTATTTATATGCATTTGTCAAATGTGATATGATTTATTCATAACTTTATCTGCTTAACACATTTCATGGAAAATGATAAACTGTAGAAAAAAAAGAGAACAAAATGATTAAAGATGTGCTGTTATTTTGAAATGTGTGCATTCTTACTTGTGTAGTTCTCCCAGATGGTTCTATGTTTAAATTTTTGTGCTTATTTCTGAACTATAGAAAAAGTAAATAACAGTTAAATTCTGCCCATAAATACAGGCTTTTTCAAAGGTCATTATAGCTTATGCAATAAAATAGATATGGAGTTTCTCCTGTAGGAGAAACTGGATTATTTGATCACTAGATGGAGTAAATTTTCGACAAATAAGAGACACTACACTGTTTTTCTAGTACTAAAGATATTATTAGTTTTCTCATGACTGAGTCATCTCAGAAACAAAATGAATCAGGATTATGGCATGTACAACTGACAATAGAGTAACAGACATATTACAACAGTGATAAGTATGTGGTATCGTACAATAAATCATGTTTTCAAGATTGACATAGATTCACAGATGTGTGATGATAAATGGTTTATTTAAAGAGTTAACAAAAGATACAAATAGACAAAATTAGAAGAAAGAAAATTTTTACCAAAAAAACGTTTTATATTGTTACGACAGCGGAAGTCACGTGACGCTGGTAACACGTAATGAGTTCAAGAAAGATCGGGGAACGTCACGAATAATCCAGTATTTGCTAGGCACCCTCTATTCTTGTATATAAGTGCACCAAGCAATTAATCGAAACTGAATTGCAGACGGGCAAAGATAGAGACAGACAATTGAGTCAAGCGCGGTAGTAAGTAAAGTGCGCAAATCGTTTGTTGTAAATTATAGTGTGTGTTTAAGTTAAGGTGACTGTGAAAATTAAGTGTATTGCAAAGTTGAATTGAGAAAGAATAAACTAGTTTTATTTGAGAAAGAACTTGTATCGTTGAAGTTCTTCGGAAAGAATTTTTACGAGAAATTAATAAACAACCAGAGACATAACAATATTTATAGGGACAGATATAAATTGACTTTGCATTGTGGTGGTTCTGAGAAGACGTTTAACTGAAACTTGTTGAGCTGGACCTTGATTTTAACTTTAAATGTATAAATTTTTAAAAACTAAGAAATGTCTCATAAAAAAACTGACTTGGAAATGTTGTTTTAAGAAAAGTGAGAGCATGGTAAAGTTTTGCTCCAGAAGACACATGATTCGCAAGATTCCTCACTGCTATTGAATCCAAAAACCAGATCTTTCACAGTGTTAGATCTGATTTCAGATATTTTCTCTTGTCACCTGTACATCTCTTAGCCTGTGGCTGGAAGTAAACAGTATAATAATAATATAAGGATGATAGTAAAAAATGAATGATATATTTGTAGATTCATTATCAAAATTGAATTATATTCATTATGTATATCTTAACCTAACCTAATCCGTGTTAGTTGGATTCACATTCAAAATTTACATCTGATTACATAAAACTATATTTAATAACTTTGGCAATCTGTTCACTATCAGTTTACACAACTCATATTCATAAACCCATATTGCTGATAAATGTGTAACTGGAATAGATATCAGCAACATTGCTAACTATATGAAATACATGTTATATGAATATTTTCTGCTGTGATTAGGTTTAAATTAATTTTATTTTCTGAATGTATAATTTCATAAGGGACCTTAAAAGTTGTTATTATGCTGTACAATATTCATCTTTGTGTTACACTTGAATCCACATCAACATGTTTAAGAAAGGCTTTATTAAGATACAACTTAGATCTTTTAAATTTAGCTTTTCTTGTACATAAGGATGGAGTGTACATTTATGTTAATGTTCAGCAGTGCTTATCTTCACTTTTGCATACTAGCACCATTGGAATATGTTATTGGCCAAAAAGGAATCATCTATTTATTACAATTTATGTAATATCAAAAATGCAATGTAATTTAATGTTTCATTTCTTCCATGACTGTAAATAATTTTTATACTCTGGCAATCATTAAAATGGCTACGGACAGGGAAATAATATGCAGGAAAATGTATGAAAGACAAGAGGAGAAGAGGGTATGTCAACATAAAGGTTAAAGCAACCTGCTTAGACAGTTATTATTCCAACAACAGATGAGTCATTCATCATAAAAATTACGAAATCCAAGATAGCCATCACCCAACAGTAGCTAGTTAAAATATATAATGATAAAGTTTCTGAAAATTAAAAATTAAATACATTTTAAGTGAGGATTTAATACATAAGGTAGTCAACAGAAGACAGACATAAACTAAGTCATCACAGCTTTCTCAGTAAGTCAGGCAGTCTGAGAGTAGTAATATTGTGGTGTTTATGTGATATTCCAAGTATTACACAAGGACACAGTTTACTTGATCTTTGTGATAGCAAGAGATCTGTTGATCGTGTATGTGAAGGATAAGTGTAGTGATTTGTTACAAGCAGAAGAAAAAGATACAAGACTGTGTGTGAAGATGGATAAAAGCAAACACTGTATTAATTGAAAACAAATAAGAAACAGAGGAATGGCTGATCACTGTAATGGAAAATTGCTGCTGTGTGGTTAAAGTTAAATAGTAAAGTTAGTAAGAGAAATTTTGTTTATAAAACAAAATTTAAATATATATGAAAAAGAAAGTAAAACTGAGTGGTATAGCTGTGAAAAGAATAAGTTCACACAATCAGCAGACTAAAAAAACAAATGAAAAAGAAAAAAAGAAACAATAAGGAAAATGCTTCACCAGTATGTCTTGACTCTTTCAGTGCAGAAGCAAATCTGATTAGAAATGCCCAAACTATTGTAACACTTCATATTAGCTCTCTAGCTGATCAATCACAAAATTGGGTTACTTGTATCTGGAGGCATATGTGCTCCTTATTATATATGTAAAGCAATTCCATATGCACAAGGTATACAACTATAAATGTCCCTCAGAACAGTTGATAACCTCCATGAATGAATTCTGCTACAATAAGTAACACCCTGGGTTGATTGACTTTGACCATATTTAGTTTGTTTCATATTAGAACTTTCAAAAGAAAGAAATTGCATGTGACTTTAATTCAAATTGTTAATATTGTCTGAAAATGAACAAGAATCAAAATGTTGTCATGTATGAAAACCAAATGTGTAAAAATAATATTCTGATGTATTTTATTTAAAACTTATTTTAGTATATATACACATGAAGTTAATAAAGCTTGTACAAAATATTTATAATAAACTTGATTAGGTAAATAATACTTCTATCTTGCACATACTTTTTTTTGGGTGATAATGGTCAGCCAAATCATATTCTAAATTGTTTTTGTTTGGAAATAAATTATAATTTCTTGTAGCTATTATGTATTAGCTGGCTACATGGATACTGTATGATATATATAATAACTATTTTTTATTTCTAATTTTGATTATCTAAATTTGTGGCCATTTCTACAGCTGCTTATTTGGCTCAGTATTTCCACAGAGTAGCAGAATCTGTGAAAGAGTTTACACTTTTTTTCTGTGGATGAAAGTAATGGTGGTTGTAAGTTCTATTACGAGGTAATACGGAAATTAAAAAAAAATTAAATACATTACTCATCAGTATTGTGAATTGTAGCCTGCATATATTAGGAGGCATTCAAAAATTATGAAACTGTTGAATTGAAAAACTTTGATCTTCATCATATATTACTTGTCAGAGGGCACTCCAGCATAAAAGTAAGGTTGTGTAATGGCTATGGTAATCACCAACATCTAAAAACATTCCAGGTAGAGTAGATTATGCAAATATAGCAACTTATTAATAAGTATTTAAGAACTATTCTAGAGAAGAAACGTTACAGTGCAATGATCCACTGACAGCCAAGTTTTTTTTACCCTTATGTATGCATCTTTCTGTAAGCAAACCATTCAAGGGGTATATATATATATACAGTAAGTGAAAATAAATTAAGGGATAGAATTTATTGATTAATTTTGTGCATTAGAGAGGAAAGTTTCTCAAAGTTGGTTGAAAAAGCTCCATTGAAGTCAGCAATCAGTAAAGATGGTTGTATGAAGGAAGTGCCCCAAACCATGCCTCTTGCAGAGAGAAAAGGGGGAGATACTTGTGTAATAACCCCTTAAGGTAATACACTTAATTAATCCATTTTGTTTTTTAGAAGCTCATCCTGTTTTATAAGTGTATTTCCCATAAGTGTTAAGCTCTGTAATCAAGGATACTGAAGTTGACAATATGCAGAAAGAATCTCATTTGTGTTCATATCAGATCTGTTGACAGCATCATTTAAGAGGGTTTCAGTCAGTGGACACAATTTGATAAACACAGTTTAGAAGTTAGAAAAACAAGAGTGTAACAGAAAGTAAAGAACTTTACATAAGTGGTGAAAGAGATGAAAAGTGCTTTAAAACAATGGTTGATTATCAAAAGAAAATGTAAGATACAGAAGAAATATCAGTATTTATAATTAAATTTAACAAACTGAGGAGTTATAAAATTTTCTAAAGAACTATGATGAGTGATACAGTTAAAAAGAAAGTTTTAAGATGAAAAAATGTGATTTACTATATAATACCGATGAAGAACGATTATTTGGCAGTACTTATCATATTTTAATGCTACTTTTCTGTTAAACATGTTTAGAGTGTTGTCTTGTAAATACTGCAACACACACTGAAAATATATAAACAATATGGATGAGAATTTATTATATAAAAAATAAATCAAGTCAATAGCATAGCTTACCACAGGAAGTTTCTATATAACTTTTATAAAACATGGCTAAAATTTAAGTGAAACATTAGATTTTCTAGAATACCAAAAAGTCACAAAATTTTCTATTTTTGATTTAAACAACAACATTAATATATATTATGAGATTCATTTGTGGATATCAAGTTCAACAGTTCTTATGTTTGTATGTTTTGCATATAACCATATTGACACAATAAAATACTTTGAAATACTTTCAATTTATAAATATTAAAAATTGTTTGGGCTGTGAAATTAATTAATTTGTAATGGTCGTCAGATTATGTTATGCATCTCAACATGAATGAGCATGTGTTAGATGCAGCATATATTGAAAAAGAAATAAATTACCGGATAAAATCGGGATTATATACCTTTAATTAACATGAATCTATATAGACAGTAACATAAACTGAATGTTACAATATGCTACCCGAAGTTTTTCATTCTTGGTAAACTAATAGAAGGTACATCCCCATAACTTGATATAAAAATGGACCTTTTATTTTTCTAGCAGTTAATAGTTGTGTTTTATGGTGGTGAAAAGTGTACCTTATCCATATTTCACATTTCCTCACATTCTCTTTATGTCTCAAAGTGTATTCAAGTATCATAGATATTAATTTGGTCATCTGTCGTGTAGATTCATTACAATTCCCAGCTAACAATGAATGTGGTAGACACATAACAATTGTTATTGTAACTAATTGCTTATATAAGTAATGTTCTGACCACTACTGTGTTTGTTGTGTTCAACCAGTATGATGAGCTCTGTGCTGAGTAAAATGCATCATCTTCAATGGATATGACAGACTTAGTGTGGTTGAAATAATACTATACATTATTCTTTCTTTTTTTTTGGAAAACCCTGAGGGACTGAATAAAGAGTCTAGTGTTAAAAATAAAATAGGCTTAATGCTAATGTCTTTTGACAAATGTTATTAACTAGGGACATTGTTTGTATTAACTGGTGGTTTTATAGTAGTTTAAGATGTTGAAAAGTGCCTTGATAACTAGCATTTCTTAATTGGTTAACCTTTTATCTCTGTTGTTAGAACACTTGCTTGGCATGTGAGAGATCCTAACTTTAATCCTGAACTGAGGAAATGCAAAAATCTCTCTTTCAAAGTTTATGCCATGAAAACAATTTTTATAAGAATCATGTCAGTAAGCTATAAAACATTACACTGAAAGAGAGAGTTTTGGTAGATTAGTTCATCAAGTCCTGTGATGCATGCTGCAATATTTCTTTTAATTATCATCAGGTGTAATGAAAGGTGCAATTTTTTTTTATCAGGTCTGAGACACTACCAAAGTGAGTGTGTGTGTGTCTTGCTCTCTGTCTCCCCCTCTTTCTTTCCTTTTCCTCTTCCTCTCGGTGCCTGGTGCTTTAGCTTCATTTACCAAACAGAGGGCCTGAGCTTGAAAGAGAGAGAGAGAGAGAGCTAACTAAGAGATCATAGTATTATACACCAAGTTGTATGAACTGTCCCTGTCAATATCTTTGAAACATATGATAGAGGCTATATAACCTTAAGGTATCACTTGTTTGAACTAATTAAGAAGACTGCTGTTGACATCTTTACACAATGTGCATCATTACAGCCATATAGTCCATGTGCAGAAAAGGTGTTATCTCCAGAGTGTGAGAAAGGTAGCTAGAAGGAAATCAACTCAGTGATTTTCATCACTACATGTTATCTGAAAACTGCACAAGCTCAGAAGAACTTATAAATTTTGAAGGGTACTATATTGATATAAGAAGGTATATAAAGTGCATGGTATTTTTATATATACAACATTTTGTTTGTATGACTAAGATACACTAACTCTGCCTAAACCACCATTGTGAAGAAATTGTAACACATACATAATCATCTTAAAACAAGAAGGAATCCTCATTAGCCATGTCTGTAACTATATTTCAAATTGGTCAAGAGATGGAGCTATGAAGTAAAGGATTGTACTTGAAAAAACAAACAAACTCAAAGCCATTTTATGAGCTGCTATGCTGCAGCTAAAAACACAGAGGCAAATAAGTAGGAGAAAACAAATAATTCTATTTAATTTTTATTTTAAATAATAACCTTTTTAGAGCATAAAAAAAAGAGAACAAAATATGTAAATTTTTATTTCTTTTCACAATTTAATTTTATTAGAAGGGTCATAGTTACTCTGTGCTTGTTTTTAAATATTTTATTATAAAAAATTAAGCTGAATATAAGTTTTGTGAATTATAGATCATACAACAGTTGTGGCCATATATTGGACATTTTGTAGAAGGTGTACTCCGTGAAAAGGTGGAGCCTGCTATTCGGGCAAATTTACCAACAAACCTCCAGAGCTTCAAGTTTGAAAAAGTCATTTTAGGGGATATGGTAGATAGACTGATTCACTTAGTATAATCTTGTGGAATATTAAATTTTAATGTTATGTTAATCATTAGATATACATGATATTTTATGAAATATTATTTCTGTATGTTACAAAAATAATGAGAAAACAACTCATTTTGATAAATTATTTTGTACGTACCTAGAAATAGAATAACTCAGTGCTGTTATTATATTTTAAAATTAATAATACAGCATTCATTACAACAGATTTGACTATATCAAAATTATATCTTTGTTTTCTTATGCTTCTGGTACTAAAAGTAGTTTTTAATTCCTACATATAATGTATATATTTTTTTACATATTAAATTTTATTATCTTATTGTGAATTTTACTATTTCCAAAAAATTAACGTTTATTTTATAGCCATTTAGGATTGGTGGGGTTAGAGTCTACCATGAAAATACAGCTGAAGATGAAATAATTATGGATGTAGAAATATTGTAAGTAAAGTTTAATTGTGATATTAATTTTTCATTTTCTAGACTTCATGCAAAGAGTTCTAGCACAAATAATACAGGTATTTCTTATTTATTCTAGAGATGTGATGAATTGATTGACTTTTAATTGTTTTATGAACTTGTGGGACATGAAATATTATAAGTGCCCATAAATAACATATGTAAGATATATATGTGCTATTAGGGCATCTAAAGCCAAAAAAGGATCATATTTAATTGATATTAATACAATGATAATTCATTTTTTATGTACATCAATTAAAAAACTTTCACCCATACTGTAGAAAATAGGAAGTATCAGTATTTGATTTGAACACTGATTTCATTGACTAGTTATTTAATTTACTTTAAAATTTTCTTGCTTCCTAAATGCTGTAAGTTGTTGCTCAAGAGTGTTTCACTTTTGAGTTCAACAGTACAGGAACATTGGTTTTATCAATTATATAAATCCTTTATAGATTGATAATTTTGAATATGACTCACTCAAGTCTGTAAATTGCCATTGATGATGCAACATAATGAAAATACATTATTTAAGCTGTTTAATTCTTAATAGAAATAAACACTTCATCAAACTCAAACCAAACCTTTTTTTCACTCTCAAAACAAATTTACAGTCTTGTTTCACATTTGAGCCTACATCAATTGGTCTTTAACATTACTCTTTTTAATTTTATGTCCATGTAATTGTTTATAGAATATGTGTACAAAAGAAACTGCCATTGTGACACTTTCTGTCATTCTGTACATATTTTTGGTTACGACTTTTTTTTCAAAATGTCAGTGAAATTAACAAAAACTTAAAATTAACTGATGTGTTGATGAATTGACTGTAGGTGGAAGTGGGTGCAAACTTTATTAGAGTTTAAGAACTTCCCAAAATCAACAATCTGCATATGATGTATGAAATTGTATCACTTAAGTTATCATCTGCTTAGGAACTAAATACCTAAAACTGCAAGATTTTAGCGTGTTGTATATTGTATGCACTCATATATGTTAAAGAAAACATACTTTTTATGACTCCATACAGTATCCATTATATACTGTTAGAGATATTCTCATGATTCTGGTTGATTCACTTTCTAAACAAAACCAATTTATTAAACTGTAACGACAGAAATCCAAGATAAAACTTTCAAACAATTGGAATATAAGTTTTATCTCTTACAAAAGAAACAGTTAATATATCTGTACCTGGCCAGGACTTGATACAAACGTTAATAAACAATACAACATAAACATCAATGTTATTAATTTCAGCAAATATAGGAGTTAAGAAAAAGAACTAGGAGAAGTAAAAAACCTAAGTTTAAAATCACAGTATTCCAAAATTAAATCACCTCAAGATCAATAACAATTGAGTAACAATTAACAATAATTCATTCTAACTATATCTTGTAAACTAACTCATTTAAAGTCAAGGAAGCATTTTAATTTAGTGGTTAGACTGTGAGATTACATCTCATGTGATTAGGTAACTCACATAACCTTTCATAATATTAATATATGTATGTCACCGCTAGGGGGAGCTTATGTCAGTTTCATAATATAAACATACTCAAATTCAAGTTAGCATTTTGATATAACTAAAAATTCATAGTTGAGCTAAATGATAGAAGGAATAATAAATGAACAGTAAACAAAACCATAAAATAAAAGTAGAATTTGCTATCTCACAACTTTATAATGAGTATCAGTTTGCTTTCAAGTGTGGTATTCAAGTACATCATATCCAACAGATAAAAATCAAATATCTGCAAAACGTAGATTCTGAAAATGTCTTGTACAGAATAAAATAAAAACTGCAAAAGAAAAAATAGTACAAGTGAACAAATGTAGCAATATCATCTTTATTCATAATGGTGTAAATATGTTTTTTCGTTTAGTGGCTAGCTTCTGTGTTTGTTATAACTCATACTGGCTGCTGAAGCAGAGTGAAGGCTTTCAAAACATCCACACAGAACAAGGAAAGGATCAGGAATCAGACATGTCTGCATAGGACAAGAGCAAGAATATTGAAATTGCACAATTTTAAGTCAGACCAGAGACCTAGTACGATATCCTGCAATTATTAGATTACCTATGTCATTGATCATTCAGATAAACATATTCAAGGGTGAAAATCTTAAATCCATACCAACTTGTACAAATATTTGTACCACTCCTTGGAATGAATATAGCTGCAGAAAAAGGGCAAATTAGGAATAAGCCTACAGAACAATCATTGTAACATGTAACTTTTATGTAAGGTAGAGGATTAGTGAAACTTTATGAAATTAGCAGTTATTTTAACTTCAATACAAGTATCAAGGCTATGCTCTCTATAAACTGTAATGCATACTGTTTAATTTGCTGTCTATATTTCTACAGATTTGTATACATGTGCAATAAACAAAAACAATATGCTTATATGTACCAAGACTGTGTCTGTAGATTATTATCATGTAATAGTGCTTGTTAGTAGCTATATTCTGTTAGCATGTACAGTTATCAATATTGATATACTTTTGTGTATCAAGACTCTGACCTTTATAAACTTTAGTGTAGACAGGTTTGACATATTTATATATGAGCAAGTACAATAATCATTATCAGTGGGCTTTCAAATACTATGGTGGTATCCTCTGTATACTTTGATGTAGACATATTTGATGAAACTTCCTTCTTACTAGTTTCACCCATTTTTCTTAGTAATCTAACTGTCCATTTAAAACTTTTATTGCTTGCAGGAAAGCAAGTAGCTGATTAATCATTACAACATTCCTATACAGAGCTTGTATTTAACAATTATTTTGTGGTTGCCAGCTGGGCTAGTAGAGTCAGAAATCTACTAGCCCTGTGGGATTACTACTAACCTATCAGAAAAAGTTAGTCACTATTGCAACAGTATAATGGGTTTCTTGAATGGGGTTAGTTAATTGCAAAACTGTTGTTTTGTTGAATGTTGCAACTAGAAATGCACAATTTATAATGCTTATAATTTTTATATTTCAATATTTTACAAAATAAAATAGTGGAAAACACTGACTTTTTTTCATCAACCACATGACTTTGAATGGTGGATGAGAATTTGTTTTCAGAAGTAAAGCTTTCATATAATGTTTATTATGTTTAAAAAATTAGCTGAGTTTGATAGTTGAAAAGAACAAGATTTAAGCTCTTAGGAGTTGCTTAAATTAAGTTTTTATAGAATTCCAATGCCAAGATATAGAGAAATTATAAGATGAAGTAGGTATTATTAAAATCTTTTGTTGTTGTTGTTGTGCAGATATTCTGGAGACTGTAGATTTTCTCTGAGAATAAAAGGATTGAAAGCTGGAATTAAAGATGTGCAGGTATGTGTATACGTAGTAATGAATAAATGCTATTCTTAATAGAAGAGATACATATAACTGAGCATTATTTTTTACATTAATTTTTAGATTAGTTATTCATTTATTTTGTATGATATTTATCAGTTTTATGCAAATGGGCCTATACAAGCAAATATGGGGGAAAAGCTCATTTTGAACATGGTATATTAATCAAATTTTGTTGGTTACTTTACTATATTTGTAATGATAATAGTTGTCAGATTCAACTTTATCTATCTCTGTACACATGTCTTTCTGTATATATCCTACAATATACCATGGTGTGCTGAGAAGGAAGATGAGAATTTTCCATTAAATTTTATGTTTATGTGATTTTTAGAAAATTAGTTATACTGGAAAAAGAAGCTAGGGAAAATTTTTATAAGGTTGTGCATAAATTACTATTTCAATGCTGTAACATTTTTAAACAAATAATTTAGTAAGTGTGATTTTTATGTTACACTGTTTTTGTTACTTCATAAAATGAATGGCAAATAATGTAGGATATTCTGTCTTTAAACAGTAAAAGACTGTTGATTTTAGTTTAATAATTACTGCACGGATTCTTATAAGCTTTTCATAATTTTTTCAGTTTGTTAAATGTTTCTCATCAAAAATAAGAATATCTTTCACATCTTGTACCAAATTTTTCAAGACCCAACCAGGTTTATCGTACAGAGTGGTCTCTTGACCCTCAGGTTTTCAGGTGGCTATGCAATCAGTGGGGTACTCCTCATCTGGATGCTTTACCACTTTACTCAAACACCAAGTTACCTCTTTTTTGGTCTCCAGTTCCTCATTCTCAGGCCTTGGCAGTGGATGTTCTCAGTTAGGACTGGACCAACTGGTACCTTTTGCACTCCTGGTTTTGTAGACCTCCTCGTTGTGTGGTTCTTCCAGACTGTAATGTCAATATTTTTCTTCACTGCTTTCTACTCCCTCCATTTGAACTTTGTCCTATTGTTCCATGTTTCTCCTATCCATTCAGACTTATTCCTACTTCTTTTGCTCTGTGAGCATTGTTGGTCTGATATATTTGCCATCAACATTTCATGTACTTTTTCCATTCCACATATGTTCTACTTTATCCAGATCAATCTTTCCTACCGATAACTTCGGCGGGTTGGGAGGAACATTCTTTCTTCTTGCCAAATTCACTTCCATTCATTTCTCACCTTTATTTGCAGTTTGATCCAGATAGCATTCTGTCTATTGTTACATTGCCTGCAGGGCTTCCTTTAGTGGCTCCCGTTCCCACCTTTCCATTCCTTGGCACCATTCATTTGTACATGACCTTTCTCCTTCTACCCTTCTAAGTTAGGTGCAACAAGTGATTCAATTAGCCTATTCCTCAGCCTCTTTCTTCCTAGATTCTGTTCCAGGTATTTTCTGCATCTCACCTTTGTCATTCTTCTGATAGGCATGTGGACTACACCTCCTATGGTCATTTCCCACCATCTTCATTGTGTAGCTGTTTTTTCCTCATCGCCATCCTTCAAACTTTGGTGCAGCTGTGACTGGGTAAATCATTTCTATATATATATATTTTTCTCTCCAGCTGCCACTGGATATCCATTTAGGATTAGGATCTTGCTCAGTGGCAAATTTTGCATGTCCAGGTATGCTTCTTATCAGAAATTTGCACTGTATGTCCAAGATGTATAACTGTGTCCAATGATGCACACTGATGAGATGGGGTGTTCCTCAAGATTGCTATTAGGTTTTCCTTGTGATATATTTGTTTCATAATTATACCCATTCAGGATTGTACTAACCCATGGACTTACATGGGTAAAGCATAAGGGGATAGCTGCTCATCCCTTTGATTGACTAGATCATGGGTGGTCTGCATTTCAGGATAGGGTTTTTCGTGGTTACCCATTGCACTGTCTCTGGTGTCTGCATTTCTCCAGACTCTCCACTGCATTTTGCCCCCCCTGTTTTTCTAATGGAGCATGGGAGTCCTTGCCACTTTCCAGTTCTAAGATGCTGGGGTGGTGGACCATGGAAGAATCCTCCTACATGGGATTACTTCCATTCAGTTAAGAATAGGGCAGTGGTGTTCTGCTGGGTCCCAGAGGTTCATGTTGTGCACAGCTTCTGTGTAGTTCTATTTGGAAGGTGAGGTTGCTTATATTTTATAGATGTGATCCACTTCCATGCACTGGAACCTGGAGATTGCAATTGCTCTCTAGTCTTTTTGCAAATGTTGCATTGGAGTAAATCCATCGCATTGCAGTTCACCCCATTGATTGGGATCCTCTTCCTACCATCACCTGGATGTCAGTTCACAGGGAGTTGTTTTGGATTCGAGCTGAACCAATCAACATAAATCCTCATATATGTGTTGACTGTGTTCCTCTTCTTTACTCAATATACCTCATGATCTCCACCTCTGTGCAGTGGGTCCTAGAGGTTGACAGTGTGCCCAGATTCTGTGCAGTTCTACCCAGAGTATGAGGCTGCTATATAATTTTAGAAGAAATCCATTTGTGTGTGGTGGGACCCAGAGGATGGTGTTGTGCTCCGACTTCTGTGTGGTCTATCTGTTTGTAGATGGTTCTTTTACAGTCTTTCTTCTACAGGATTGTTATTCTGGTATTCTGTGGTTCAAATTCTAACCCACTTGGTTTTTCTCTCTCTTTTTTTGTGGTGCTCCTCCCTCTTTCTGCCTGTGTATGTGACACCTTTTTCCACAATGGGTACAAAGTATACCTGGTATAGAAGTGGTATGGTCTCCCATGTTTGTTCCTTTCCCAACGATGATTTTGAAGGATACTTCTTTCTATCTCTTACACCAGTCCCTCTGCCTGTTCAACGTGGGATTCTAGTTATACATGTCAGTGGAAGTAATGTATCATTTTGGAAGTTCTTATTTTCCTATACTGAAAATATATTTCTGATAGGTACTTACCTCTGCTCATACTTCCCACCCTTCTTCCTCCTCACTAAAAACCAGTGCTTCCTTTTCTGCCTAATCTTGAAGTGATAGTTTTTAAAATTGAATAGAGGGAGTCACACGTGTCAGGAGGATGTGTCCACCTCCTATTGGTGGAGAGTTGTCGCATGATGATTTACATGTGAGATGCAGTTGAAACACATTGATTGTGGGATACGTGGGAGTTCAAGGCTTGTGGCATGTGAAAAAATATTTGCATATAGAGGGCAGCACTGAAAGAGAATAAGTATACATGTGAGGGAGGTAAGTACTTTTCGGAAATATGTTTTCAATATAGGAAAATAATAACTTTTTAGAAGCCAATTATAGCTGATTGTATAATTTTTGGTGACTTTACCTGAGTAAACAAGGTGTAGGTTATCATTAAGATCTATACATGCACTTCATTTAATACTTGTATGTGATTTAATGTATATGTATTGTCTAAATGAATTGTAAATATTTTGCTTTTTTACTTTCTTGTACCAGTTTTGCAATTGTCCATGTTTAATTCATACACACACATAGAGATTTATAGATAGATGTGTACAAAATGTTAATAAAATGATAAGAAATAATGTCAAAACACAATAAATATAGATATTTTGATCTTTACATAGTATTTGTTGGTGTTTTTCAAGTTTATAGTTGCTTTTGCAACTTGTATCTTTTTTTTTTTACAATAATTGCATATAAGCTGCACCTTCTACAATTTTTGTATAGCTTCATGGCATGATACGTATTGAGATGAAGCCCTTGGTGCGACAAGTTCCTCTTGTTGGTGGACTAAGTTTTTATTTTCTTAAACCTCCGGTAAGTAGAGTTTACTTCATGGTTTTATAAGTTTAAGAAACAGGCGTGAAAATTCTCATAAGCTGTCTTAAGCATATGCATCTGAAAAAGATAAGAAATGTTGGAATAATTCCTAATTTATCAAATGTGTGTTAAGGCTGGCTTATTGAAAGAAAATTTTTAAATTAAAGAAGTAAAATATTATATGTATCATTTTATTTTATCAACAGAGGAAAAGAGGAACACAACATTTTAAAAACCAGATAAAAAAATTAATAGTGATGTGTTATTTTTCCATATATAATTTTATGTGATGATCTTATCTAATTCCAAATGCTACGTTTATAACATTCTTTCATTAAACCTATACAGTTAGTGGATATCACAGTGCACTAAACTTGGATTTTTGTAATAATTATTTCTGTATAACCATAAATGAATAACAGAAAAACAACAAACAGATGATAATCTGTATTAACTATGAAGATGGAGAAAAGAGATGGTTCTACCAGCCAAATAATAAATTCATCACATGCTTATAATCCACCATACTATGTGGTAAATGTATAAAATGTAGTTTATACCCTATATGATTATTATAAGTTAACATTTGATGCTACATTGATATAATCACTACAATTACTGTAATCATATTCTTCATGTAAAACAGTACCATAAAACTCCTTTCTATGGTTTCAACAAGATTCTTCTTCTTTCAGGCAAGTACCACAGTGCAAAGAAGTTGTAAAACATCTAAAACTGTGATGTTTTGCACCTTTTGGTGAGGGTAGGCTTTATTATGTCTCCTTGCATTTCCCATCCATTTCATGGGTGGTGGACAGGATGGATTGGGTTTAAGTGCCCTTTTTGAGGTAAATGTCTTGTAAATTGCTTGATCAAGAGAAAGAAAGAAGAAATTCACTCTTGGCCTGTTTTCTGTAGAAGAGTGTAGTTACTTCATTCACATTGACTTCTGCATATGTTGCACATTATTTTATGGCAAGTTTATATAGTTTTTTCACATATTTTGACAATATTTACAAGTTCTGTAAGTGAGACAGTCTCAGATGCTTTGTCAAACATATTTCAAAGGTTTTTTCCTTTACTACTATCAGGAAGTCAAGGTATGTAGTCTGGGAAGAAGCGGGCAGTCCTGTTGACTCAAGCTGTTTGTAGTATCATGGATCAGAATATATTAAGATCTATCACTTATACCCATTTCTAACTGTATCCTTGCATATAGCAACGTGTAGAAATTAGCACAAAGAACTGCTATGTATGGTCAGGGGGCCAGACAACAACATTACCCTACTCCTTTGCAGCATCTGAAGTATGTAGAATAAGGTTGGTTGTAGCTTTTTCCTGGATACTATAGAGATTTTCTTCTTCCACTGATTCTGATCTTGCTCAAAGCCACCAGACCACAGTTAAATCACAAACAAAATAACTATACAGCATGCATGTTAGGTTGTGTTATGAATTTTGACTTACAGTACAGGCACTGTCTACATATGACTAACAGCCAACAACTTCTGAGAGTGAAGGGACTACCCACATGGCTAACAGTCACCCTCACTACAAAATACGGGGAGTTGTGTCCTTGAGGTAGTGCCTATCTTGCCACTGGAAAATATTAATGTCTAGTTCTATGTAGTATGTTCTGTTTTACAGGAATCTTTTCCACAAGAAAGTACATTTGGCACTCTCATTAAATGACCCAATTTTGTAGGTAACTTGGGCACGGAGGACTTGACCAACATTTTATATTTAGATTACATACTCAATACATAGATAAATTTGAAACAATTTATATTAAATAAGGGGGTAGGAAATTAGTATGGCTACATACCACAATATTAAACATTATATATTATTATGTATCACTTCCAAACAGTCTTTTCTTTATTTCAGAATATAGCCTTTAAAAATTGCATTCAATTCCAACTATCATTGGAATGGTTTGGAAAAATAAGTATTTTGAATATTAAATAATTTTATTTTATTAATCTATTTTAAACATCAGTGTATGATCATTACTGTATTTTTTTTTTCATTATTGTTATGTTAAATATTTATTTCCTATTGTTGTTAATCTTATATGTTTAAAGTGTTTAACTTATTAATATATACCTTAGCAAGGTTTTCTTTTAAAAAAAGTTTGAAACATATGGAAGTAATTTTATTCTCTACTTTCTTTTTTTTTACATTAATTTTTCTGTAGGCTATTAATTTCGACCTGACCAACTTCACAAATATTTTAGACACTCCCGGTTTGAGGTGAGCCTGTGTACTTTCTCATTTAATTTGCCTTCTTTCAGTTTTCTTTGATTTACTAATGTACTAAGTTGCTTATATTTTTCATGTAAAGCATTAATTTAACTATTTTGTTGCTGAGGGTATTTTTAACTTAGTCAATGAAGTATAATGTGATAAGTGTGATAACCATTTTTAACATTTTAAATAGAATAAAAAATATTATTATTTCAATTTTGAAGTTTTTGTATTTTTATACTTTCTTAGATGATGTAATTATAGTAAACTTTTCTTTTTTTTCAGCAATATTTTACATAAAATTATAGTTGAACAGCTCTCAAGTGTGATGGTTCTTCCTAACAAAATAACATTGTCTCTTACAGAGAGTGTTCCCCTTCATTTACTTAAATTCCTCCCACCTGCTGTAAGTGTGTCCAAAAATTTAGTACTTGTGGATTTATATACTTAAATTACTGTATGATATTGAATCTGAGTTAACTCTATATATGTGTTACAATGTGTTAGAGAATGGGAAAAAATAGCTACTGTACACTTATTACATTTTCATTTAAACTTCATGTAATTTGTTTTTATTTGATATAAAAATGTATGATAATTTCTTAAAGAAATAATGAATGTTGGAGGCCAGAAACTGGAAAATATAGTTTATGATATTGCTATAATGGTTACATTTTTTAGGTTTCTATTTCATTTATTCATTGTTACATTACTTGTAGAAACAACATTCTCTAAATAATATTTCAATTTGGTATTTGATTGTTTTAAGAATTTTCATATGTTTACTTAAAACACTGAAAAATCACACAGAATAAAAAAATCCAATAAATCACAGAACAAGAAATCTAATAACCTGAGTGGTTTTGAAAGGTAGACCAGTGTTTTTCATGAGTGATTTAGGTATAAGCCAGAAGTGTAAAGTATTAAAAGTTAGTGAAGTGACATCATAGGCATATCAGATAGTCCACCATGGTAACATGAGAGTATTTAGATATGCTTTGAATGGGAGTATTAGAGACGTGAATAAAGAAAAACATGTAGTTTGCAAAACAAGATAACTATTAAGAAGAAGACTAAAGAAAATTTCAAGAGTAGTCTTAAGAAAATTGATTATAAATAAAATATAGAAAGAGCATGAATAAAGATTGAAAAAACATTATTAATCTCAAAAAAATAAAAATAAATAATAACCTTAATGTTAATAAGTAATAAAATAGGTTACAAATAAAATAGAAACAAACATCTCTCATGTGAAAATAAGCACATTAGTGAAAACAGAATGTATTAGAGAGAGAGAGAACTGGTTAAAGATCACTGATTTAGAATGAAATTTAATGCTGCAGGGTTCAATATGTGACTATTTAGTTGGCAGTTGTTTGCCTCCTCCTTTCTGATTTGGTTCTGAACCCAATTACATTTCTTTAAAGACTTGAATGATGAACAACAGGAAGGTTTTTTTTGTGTTGACAGAAGAATTATGGTTGTTAAAATTATCTTTAGATGTAACTTGATGTACAAACCCTTTTAAATAAAAAAGTAGAATAAAACTTTGGAGCACACCACATTTTTTAAATTCCAAATGTATATAAAAAGTGACTGAAAGTAAAAGTAAAAAAGAAGGTAAGTTAGACTGCATGATTGTGAGTTTAGCCATAAAGAGCGTATAGTGAAATTATCACAGACTGTATTGTTATAACAGAGTAGAGAATCATAATTTGTCTTGTCAATTGAATTATAAAGGAAATAAACTAGTTTGTGTGGACTTTGATGTAAAGGAGACAATTACTTAAGATTTCTGGATACAACTGTGATAACCAATAGTGTAACAAATTTTTATACATACGTTTGATTTGTTTTGAATATATTATTTTAAGACAAGTGGATTGTGTGCTGCCCATTTATTGTTTAAATTTATTGCCAACAAGTCACACACACCTACTGTAAGGAATTGCAGCCCTATAAATATTAATTTTAAATTAAGTACTTCCAAATTTTAAAATGTATAGAAATATACAGTGCCTGAAGGATACATCTCTTATTTTGTAGTGAAAGTGTTCATCAGTCATGTGGTTAGCACCTCTGCCATAAGAATAATGTCATTGTTGTTTTTTGTATAAAATAACATATTTTCTCTGTTTGAAAAAATTAAGAGTTAAAAGATTTGACACAGAAGATTTAAAATTTAACAGGTTAAATGATCTTGACATAGATATTGCTTCGAGTTACAGGCAAACTTTATCTAAGAACTCTCTGTTATAAGGTACACTTGTTTTTAAACTTTGAGTGTTGTCTGTTAGAAATACAGATTGTTTTCACTTTCTTTAATTAAAACTCATTCAAGATTAGAGAATTTAGGTTTTTCAGTTATTTGTCTTCCTTTTAACCTCTTGCCTTCAATCTTACCAATAATTAAAAAAGTTTGACATTCTTATTACTATATTGCTATAACCTTTATATGTTGATATCTTTGCTTTGCTCTTTGTAATACTTCTTAATTTGTCGTTATCTCAACCCAGCTGATTTTTCAGCATTCTCTTTAGAATCCACATTTCTATACTAGTTAGTTTTTCTTTCATTACTTTGGTAATTATCCGTGCTTCATGACTGTAGAGTAATGTTGACCAAAAAGAAAACATTTTTTTTTTACAGAAATGTTATATGAAACTTAACAGATGAGCGAATTAAAAAAAATGATGTAACAATAATAATTTTTTACAGCCACATAATATCTATACAGAAATTCCCTTACTATTAATGAAATCCTTACATATACTATTTAAAGTCATCCATATATGGACATATTTTAAACTAGTCTGTTCAAATATGCAATTAAAGTCTGTAAGGTTTTATTTAAGATATGGAATATATTCATTAAAAATAAGTGAAATATGCTAATTAGTCCATAAGTGTGTTTAACAAGTCATATAAACTGTCAAAATATTCTATATTTGGCATCATTCCATATGTACATTCTTAATATTCCAATTATATTTCATAATATTATTCCATAAGTAATTTCACAATGTTCTGCATATTCTTCATGTCATTTCATAGGTAACAGCACAGATAGCTTTGTGCTTTACATCAAACATACAAACTGTAAGCAACTTGGCAATATTCCCTAAGTACTTCCCTGACACAACTTGGAATCTAACTAGAACAAAAAAGTGAAATTTCATATTCCATGCACTAGAGAATGTTCATTGTTTCTTGTTTGCTACTTTGTTAAGAACTTTTCTTATATAATATACACATTCTGTGATAGCAGCCGTTGTCATCCTTTTTTCTGGGAGAGAAGTGTTACCAAATATGGTATATCATCAAAATATTATAGATAGATTACTGTCTAGATGTTTCCAAAATTATATTATATGACCTAATAATTCAGTCCCCCACTTACTGTTATTTTTTCTAAAACTGAAACAAAACTTTAAATTTTGATATTTTGAATTGTACTTGTATTTACTTATAGCAAAGCCATTAACACAGCATGCTGCCAATCCTAATTGTGAACTGACCAGAGAGAAGGCAGCTAGTCACCATCCATTCTGAGGGAAAGCCTTTAAATTTTTTTTTACACATTAAAACAATCAGATGCCATATTGTGATTGATTCTACTTAGTAATCATGTTTTGTGCATTAGTGTAGAATTGTTAATTTACTTTATTATTAGCATATTTTATTTCCTTACAAGTTAACCACAGTACATACCCCTTTTCCATACAGACAGAGAAATGCAGAAAAGATTAAATTGTTTGTCCTTATGATATTCTGAGTTCGTATAGTTATTAAAACTCTATAATCTAGTACTTACAGACCTACTCTAAGAAGTACATTGGTGTTCCATAATTAATAAATAAGAATTTCATAAAGATATTTTGTACAGATGGATTAATCAATTCACTGTGTGTTTATTGAATTATACTCTATAATACACACTTTTTTTAGTAACACAAACTCTACAATTGCCTTTAGAAGGATAAAAGCTCCAAAGTAAAGAGTATCGTTACTAAAAAGTATGGTATAAACTTGAAATAAATGTTCAGCAGCATTTTACAAGGTACTGTTGAAATATTCAGTTTGTTTTCTACAATAAATATAACTGTGCCTACAAATCCTTGTTTGTTAATTTATTATTGCTACCTTTAGGACTTCATAACTGGTATATTTTTAATTGTGTGTCTGGATCGTGATCATTAGCATAGTATCATAATTAAGTACAAATAACAGTTATTTTGTGAATATGGTAAAACAAAGATTTTTATTTTCTTTCTATTACAGTATGTACAAGTAAATATTTAAAATTTTCCCTTTGTACAAGCTTCAGCACTTCAAGTCATTTTATTTACAAAACAACGTGACAATTAAACAAATTAAAATCTATATTTATATTTAGTAGCTCAATGTATGTCGAAAAATAATTTATTTGTTATACATGAGGGATTTTTCTGAAAGACTGAATTACTAATGTAAAGTGATGTAATTTATTTCTTTGTGGTGTAAGTGATTAACCTAATGTGCTCGACCCAATATTAGAGAAGGAATGGTGACTATTAATTCCAAAATTACAACATGTATCTGCCTAAAATATGACAGACTTTTAGTCAGATGTACATGTTTGTTCTACATGAAACATCAGATGTGTTGCAAACATATTTGTACTCAAGCTGTGTCTCTGAATTGATGACATCAATCTGACTCAGACTCTGACAAGTTGGAATGCAAGGTGATGATCATGTGAAGAACAAGATACTTTTGTTCATCATACAGTTTGTATATTGCATTTGAATAGCCTCTAAAACCTCCAAAATGCATATAGAAAGTTTTTCAGTATTCACGTGTATTTTATTTCCTCTACCACAAACTGTTGTTAAATGAAGAGATAGTAACTATAACATCATGTTGAATGGCACTTTGTGAAACGTTGTAGCATGTACACATAGGATTAATAAATAAAACTCTTAAAATATAAATCTGTTTCTTAAGTTTAGTGAAATAAAAAATTATCACAAATAGTACTTCTAAATTTTGTTTAATGATGGATATGAATAAAAAGTATAAAACTCTTTATTGATGAGTATGTACAGAATATAATGTGACAGTGATTCTGCATTTTACTAATCTTTAATTTGTGTTTCATAATTACTTGATATGCTACATATCTTTTAAACTTTTTTCAAAACATCTGAAATCTTCTTTTACAAATATCTTATGTAAAATTTTAAACCTATTTCCCCTTGTACATTAAATTAATAAAATTTATTGTAATGTCAAATGTCCTTTGCATCCTTTGTGTTAATATTTAGGGTGTTCTACAAGTTGAAGTATTGGAGGCAAAACAGTTGATGGCGTCTGATTTGGGTTTTGGCAGTACTGATCCATATGTTATAGTAATTGGTAAGTTAATTTGAGCAACTTAAAATTTATTATTGAAATTTTTATGTGAGTTCATTTGGTATTTTTGTTTAGAAAATTGTTTTATTTTATATAACATGAAAGAATCTAAAAGATATTCAGTGTAAAATACTTGAAAATGAATATATCTAAGCATGATACAGTTTTAATACACATACTGTCTTTTAGATTTTTCTGTGTTTTTCAAACTTAAGTAAGTATTGCTTTTATAATTATTTTAATTTTAATCTGAAAAACAGATAAATTATTAGCCTGTTAAACTATTACTGTTAATGTATATTGCAGATTTTCTTGTGCAACAATCTAATAGATTTGTTTAAGGCTTCCTATAAGTATGGACTGAGCATAGTTTAGTGGTTAGCTTACTAGATTATGAATCCAAGGGTCTATAATTTGTGTTCTGTTGCTGCAAAATCATGCTCCACACTTTTGGGCTTCGGCTGCGTTATAAGAGTGATGGTCCAATCCCACTATTCAAAAGTAGTTCAGAAGTTGGTGGTGGGTCTTGTTTGGGTTGCTGCCTTCCCATTGATATATTAGTACAAAATTATGGAGGACTAACACGTAGTAATGATTTGTCACAGATACAAGTTAAAGTTGAAACTAAACTTAGCACTTTATTTACTGAAAAAGAAGTGAAGATAAAAATCTGATCATTCACTGGTAGAACTGTTACATTGTAATGTCAAGAATTAAAAGTAAAGTAAAATAAATAAACAGCTGTATTAAACTGATGAATAAATAAAATAAAATTAACATACAGCATACTTGAGAATGAACTAAAAAAATGAAATGTACATGACAAGCAGTTTGAAAAATATAACAAAACAAAGATAAAACTTCCATCAAGCCAGAGATGAATCTGTAATCTGTGGAAATTGAAGATTCAACTTGAAAATAACAAATTGTTCATGTTGCATAATACACATCCATTTGTACTGAAAATTCAAAAAAGCAGATCACTAGAGTCTGTAAGGATATCTTTGTCTATGTAACGGTAATAAAGCAATCTTCTATACACAAGTTAAAATTACATACAATCCAACTATATTGTGAAATAGTAGGTAAGTTCCTTGACCTGTTCAACTACAAGAGTAACCCCTAAGGCTGAATTTAACACATGAAATGAACAATATTTAGTGTTTTCCAGAGTAGAGCATAGAAAAACTGTAAACATCTTACAGATATGAAATATAAACTACAGGATATTAAATAATGTAGTATTTACATACTAAATCACTGTATTTTTAACATGAATCATATTATATGAAATACAATGAAAATAGGCTATCAGGTGTTAGCATGTTTGAATTAATGAGCAGCAGTGGTTTTACTTTACTGTATTATTTATTTAAACAGGCATATTGAATAACAGTGACATGATTCATATTAAATATTTTTCCAAATAGTTGCTGTTCTGTTATTAACAATTGTTTTATGTTGGAGAAAATACTTTAAAATTGATTTTGAATATAAATAAACCATTTTTGATGGGTCAAGTTTATTAATTTCATATATATTTTCACTTTGTATAACAAATCTTAGTTCAAAATTTCAAAACATTTCTTTATAGTTGGATCTCAGGAGTTTAGAACACCAGTAATAACTAATGATATTAATCCAGTATGGAATCACCAGTGTGAGGTTGGTTACCATTGTAGTTTTCTAGGGCATTTCAATAATGTTTTTAGTTCATAATAAAGCAGTTCTACACAGTTCATGAATAAAAATGCACAAAATATATTTAATATGTAATAGGTTTTCAGTATGAAATCATGCTTTCTTTTAATGTAAAAACATATTTCTAAAGTGATTAACAGCAATGTGTTACTTCAAATTGGCCTATTCCAAGTGTTTATTAGATTTTTCAATCACCTTTCTTCATTTCTCTTACAAGAGTTTAAGTACATTAGCTCATGTGTTTATTGTATTCATTCTTTTTATATGAGTTATACTTCATAGCTTATTATGTGTTATGCTGTCAAAAACTTATCAATTATTTTTTTATCTCTCACTTAAGCAGGTAAAACATTTTTTTCAGCTTCTTACCCTCTTCTTCCTGTTTTTTGCTGTCCTGTACCTTATACTTTATAGACAATTTTCATAAATTATTTAATTCTCTTTTAGGGTGATCTAGCTAAATTTATTGCCTGACTTGCAGTTTGGTTATTTCTGGTTTGTATTTGGGACTGTACATAGTTTTACCACATTCGATGACGAGGAACCCACTTTGAGACTAATAATGGCTGGAGACGGCTTGAATGGGTAATGAAGAAAACTTTAATAT